TTAAATATCAATTGCAGCGGAATTTTCTATCCGCGTCGGTTAGTTTGCAGGGAAATATTGGTTCACGGACTTCACTATGGCATAATGTAGTTCCCGATTCGGACGGTAACGCGCGATAAATACATGCTTGAACCGTATCCCGATCACGGTAATTAGCAGTTCGTCCAAAGATCCACCATAGGGATCTGAAGTAATCGATTTGACGAATATATCAGAAAATGTCCCATGTCTCAAAATAACGCTATTTATTTCTTCCCAGTTCGTGGCTAGGACGGACGTGCCATCTTCGTATATCGTTCTGTATTCTCCGTACTCTTCATAAAACAAGTATGCGAGTTCCTTTTCGCTTTCTAGGGTGGCGTAATAACGCTGGGCGAATTTGAAGCTTACCTCAGTAGCACTCGTCTTAACACCAATCGAAGTGTTATTGGCCTTTATTTCGTGCTTCACGTCATTATTTACGGTATCACAAGATAGTTTGGATGTGGTACCTAATTCGGTAGATTTAGATCCATTTTCTAAAATACCCTTCAGTGGGTTTTTGACGGTTGTAATAGCATTATAAGTGTTATCAATATCGACGGAATTTCAAGAAGGTTTACTGTATTTAGCGATATCATCCGAAATGTTTCCTTGTTTCTTTCCAGCCGGCTCGTTATTGTCAGTGTTCTTAGCAATATTGTCACCCGCAGCGAAAGTATTTTCCTGCGTCGGGTGGTCTGCAGGGAAATATTGCTTCACGGACTTCACTATGGCGTAATTTAATTCCCGACTCGGTCGGTAATCCACGAATAGTACATGCTTGAACCGTATTCCGATCACCGTAATTAGCAGTTCGTGCAACGACCCACCACAGGGTTCCGTAGTAATCGATCTGACGAATATATCAGAAAATGTTGAAGGACTCAATATTACGTTATTTATTTCTTCCCAGTTCTTGGCTAGGACGGACGTGCCATCTTCGTATATCGTTCGGTAGTCACCGTGCTCTTCATAAAACATGTATGCGAGTTCTTTTTTGGTGCTTAGGGTAGCGTAATAACGCTGG